CCGCCCTCTGCTGGCCGGTTCCTGTTCCTGCCGAAGGGAGTCCCAGCCGCCAGCCGGTGGCCCCGGCGCCAGCCCCGCACATCTGCCCGTTTCAGGCCTGGGCTCCCTCCGCGGGGCCGCCCTGCATGGCGCTGCTGTGAACACAGGTGTGCAGGAAACTGAGGCTCTGCTTTCGGTCTTTTAAAAAAAAAGTATATTTTATTGATTTTTTACAGAGAGGAAGGGAGAGGGATAGAGAGTTAGAAACACTGATGAGAGACGTTGATCAGCTGCTGCCTGCACGCCCCATATTGTGGATCCAGCCCGCAACCAATGTCCATGCCTGGGGGTGAGGGTGGGGCTGCGGAGGGCCGTGCATCATCGAACCCAGGACCCTTCTTCAGTCCACCCCCGGCGCTCTATCCACTGAGCCAAACCGGTCAGGGCTGCTTTTGGTCCTTTTGAGTAGAGATACCCGGAGATGGGCCTGCTGGACACACAAAGAGACAGAGATGGAAAGTGTTAGGTTGGGTGGCTCAGGAGGCTCTCTCCGACCTAACAGAAAGAAACAGGGAGAGAGAGAGAGAGAGAAGATGGATGGGTAGATGGAGTGAGACAGGGAGACCGACAGACGGTGGCTGAGCAGGCCCGGGAGATGGAGGGAGGGCCCCTGCTCACTCCGGGCTGCAGGCCCTGAGCCAGCGAGACTTTCTCCAAATCCGTCAGGGGCCTGGCGGGAAGGCGCTGGGATTTCCAGCTCCCCCCCTGGCTGGTCAGACTGTGTAAAGGCCTCCCAGGCCCCCGGGGGTGGGGGCAGGGTTCCCAACTGGAATAGGTCAGGTGATGGCCCGGAGAAGCCCCGCTGGTTCCCACATCAGCACCGCGTTGTCCAGTGTGAACCAGCTTCTGGCCGAGGTGGGTGGGTGCTTCCAGGGGAAGTGCGAGCGGCTCTGGCTCCAGAGATGCGCTCAGGCCTCTGGGCGCGCGTGGGCGCGTGCACCTGCGCACGTGTGGTGTGAACGTGTGTGCGCACTGCTCTTTGTGGCTGAGAATGAAGGACAGGTTCTGACTCCACCACCCTCACCACATGGGCGCTGACAGCTCCCATTAGCATCGCAGTGCCTTCCCGTCTTCCCCACGTTGCCCTCATCTGCGCATCCCAACCCTCAGGAGACGGGCGCTGTGACAGATTTACATAGAGGAACACACAGCAGCTCAGAGTCCCTCCAGGGCACAGGCTGGGCGGTGGCCAGGACTCGGACGCAGCCTACAGGGTCCCAGCCTCTGCTCTTTCCTCCACACGCTGCAGAGACAGCCTGCCAGGCGTCCCTGTGTGAGCGGAAACAGGAGCATGAGCTAGAATTGAGCTCGTAGGGAACATACAGTCCGCGTTTCTAGCACCGCCCGAGCTCGCCCGGACGGGGAGAGCGAGGCTTAGGGGGGAGAAGAGAGCCGACTGCGTGGGGCCTGGAGGGCGCCACGCGAGGGCTCCAACGCCGCAGACCCGCAGGGTAGGAAC